AGACATGTTGATGAGCGCCATTTACTCAACTATTGAACTCATGTTAAAAAAAAAAAAAACCAGACATCTTCGTAATTGTTTTTAAAATGCAAAGCTTATTTAATACGCAATATAACATAAACGATTATTTTTATGATGACAAATCGGGTTCAACGCCCAGTCGACTCTCTCCTAAGTGTGTTTGAAATGCATGTAAGCTGTTCTTGAATCAAATCCAATGAAATGCACAAAAGGTTACCAATAGAACATACTGTACATGGACGTTAAGACCTAGCCTTCCCTGGTTTTACTTTGGTATCAACAGATTCACTGTAGTATGTAATATCTGTCTCTTATACACATCTAGATGTGTATAAGAGACAGTATACCATTTGACCAGCTCGTCGTTCAGTCGGACCAAAAAAAAATAAATAAATAAAAAATAGGCCTAGTTTTCCCATCCCAGCCAATGAGGAAGTCAAGCAATCTAGAAGTCCCAATTTGTTAAAATAATAAACTCATTTTGGGAGTAGAGGACTCCCCTCCCATACCCAACCCCTCCCATTCCCCAGATCCGGCCTTCGGCCCTCGGATAACGCTGCACGCTATAGTTACACCCATAAATACTTAGGCCCCCCCCCCAGTCGGGCACCTTATGCCCCCTCCATAAATTATATTCTAGAGCCGCCACTGTATAGGGCTAACAAAATCTATAAGATTTTACATGCCTATCATTGTGTTTGAAAAAAGTGGAGGATATGCTTCTTTTTAACCATTTTATTATAAATTCGTATGTCAATGAGAGTTCTAGTTCGTCGACAATTGTGTTGTATATGCAAGATATACAGACAGCATACGTTTCCGCTTACGTTTCTTATGAAAAGTTGACTTGGAGTCAACTTTTAATAAGAATCGTTTGCAACGCAACGTATGCGAGTTCATCCAACAAAAAGTCACTAAATCGCGGTTTCCTGTCAAATAGTAGAAAATCGACGTATCACATGAAAATTCAATACGTCGGTTTCCTGTCCAAAACTGTTTTGCGACGATTTTAGTTTACGTTACGTCGATTTCAAAAAGCACCAGTCGTAATCGGTTTCCTGTCAAATCGCATTTTCTTACGATAAAACGACGTAATCGTAAGTAAATCCGCCTTCTTACGTCGACAGGAAACCAGGCTTAAAGTGACAAGGAATAACAGATCGTTTTTAAAAGACGATCTTCTCAATCTGCCATACAGCGTCGTCAGGCGTTCACGGAAAGCATAAGTGGATTCGTCGACCGACGAGATAGTGGATTCCTCTTTGTGCTCTAAGAATATGGCATTTTAGGCTTATTTAATCGATTTTAAAGTCTAGAATTTATGTAGAAAATACATATATTTTTTATTTCTCCAAGACGGATTGAGGTTTTTTCCCCCCTGGTGGGAGGGGAGGGGGAAGCTCTTCTCGATGGGAGGGGGATGTGGCCCTGGCTCCCCCTGCTTCCCCGCTGGCGCCACACCTGATATGTGGGCGCAAGGGCCCGGACGGAGCTTTCTTCTCGTAGAAGATGTGGAGAAGGTGGTTGGTTGTGAGAAATTTGTGTCCATTTTGCAGAGCAGTATTCAGTCGGTGGGTATGCCAAGGCTATTGCTGAAGTACTGAGAGTGCTAAAGGATGTAACCCAATTTGTACTGACAAGGTTCCTAACTAAAGCCACACTATCAGAGACTTTGCACTTCATCTTCGTCATAATTATTATTGGCGATTAAACTGCTGGATGATCTTAATTAAACAGAATTTATTAGAAAACTGACAAATTACGTTTATGAGACAATCTGACCATAGCTGCGTTTCACAGTACCTAAAAGGTCGAGGTGAACAACTACTGTACATCGTTTTAAGATAATCAAATCGACATTTATTCGTTTCGTCAATTTACTTTACAAAACAGATACAGTATTTACATTATTTGAAAAATTAATTATATTTAACAACCTCGAATTAGCAGTGCCAGATTTCCATTGTACAAAAACCTGTCTTACAATTCTTTTAATACATAATATTTCAGCCATGTTACAATGTGACATAATATTACGTTATATAATAACACTTATTATTGTGGCCATGTTAAAATCATTGCATTGAACAACCTTAAAAATATATTGTGCATAATAGACCTAATATTCAATAAAAATATATATATACTTAGAAAATACACAAGCCTATATAATATTTACAAATTCACATCTTTTATACATTTTTTTTTAAATTTCCAAAACATATTTAAGTACGGTTTTCTTCTTTTAATATATTATTAAATAATAGTTTATTTTGCAAGAAAATGGTGTATTTTTGTAGTATATTATGAGTTCATACTTAGCCTACATTGTATTATGTACTTATAAATATAAAGTGATTTCTTTATTACTGTAGATTTACTTTCTACCCACCAAATTTCACTTAAATGTAAACATAATAAATGAGTGATGATTTACTCTGTCCGTGTGCACTCAAAATTGCAGTATATATATAAAATTATCATTTTTTATTCACATCATTCAAACGTGTTATTATAGACGATGAAAATTCATATGTACGTAAAGCGAGTGTTCACATTTATCAATTCAACGTTATTATCCTGGCATAAATGATGACAAAGACCTATTATTGCGTCGTATGAAGGTGGAGGAATAAGAACCTCTGAGAGAGTTGATATTGCGTCGTCATACGAAGGTGGTATGTCTTCAGTAGATACAACGTCGAAATAGTTAGGAGGGTGATTCAGATCTCGCCGCAGCGGTAGACAACCAGAGAAGGAGTGTCGCATGGTAGCCGCGACGCTTCGTGGACCGGCATTCACGTTATCCGATTTAGCTTTTCTTCGTTTTATGAACAGTAATGACAACGGACAGCTGATCATTAGGAATGTAATCAAATCTAGATGTGTAATATATATATATATATCACAATGTGAATAAATTAATACTGCAGCAACGGAATTTCATTAATTTAAAAAAATATATATATAATATACAAATTATTAATTTACCCCAAAGCCAAATAGGCCTATTCTATATATTATGCGTATGTTCATTTTAGTCTATTTGGAAAGAATATTTCAAATATACAGGTTGCATTTCATGGGATGCATGTCTGTTTATATTTATGCGTATTGTGTTAACATTGAACGTGTGTATAATTAATTAATTATTTTTAATTTCTTTGCAGATTATAGCCCATGGCAACTCAAAATATAACAATTTGATATGGTATAAGTAAACTGACATGAAGTAAAAAATGCCAATTCGTTTGAGATTTATTATCACGTAACAATAATACGGTACGTTAATTGTTGAAGTATATGGAACATACCGTAGTGTTTTAATTTTAATTTTACAGCAGATGTGATAAGGTTCTGACCGGCCGGGTATCTTGCGTGAAGAAAGTAGTGCAAACACAAGAAAAAGCCATTACAGTTACAACCTTAGCTCAGTCGGTGACCGAGCATCGAAACAGTAGCCTACTGTACAACAAGAGTCATTGGTTCGATTCAAACAACGACCAACATTTTCTTTGTTTCAGAAATACGAGAATTGATTGGGGTTTTAGGCATATTTCAAATATTCTTGTAGTTAATAAAACATTAATTACAGAATTGTGATGCTATCTCTACAATTAGTACGGTATGGAATTATTTACACGGCTTTTAGTATAGGTTAAAGTCAACGAAATTTGCGAACAGGTTGTTACATCGCTTCTAATAGTAATATTTTCACTTATAATAGAGATGCGAAGCAGTGTGGCCTACCTCCAACAAACTTTGAACAAAGCAACTTTAACCTAAGGTATGAAAGGCATATTAGGTATCTCACCTGAGTATGACTCGTCATTGTTAGATTGGCTAAACACCTGAGGAACACCTGGACACATATTGACTTCCTGAGTTCGACAAACACCTTCCTGACATTCATACTGTAAATCTATACAATCTGATAAAATAATAATAATGATGATAATAATAATAATAATAATAATAATAATAATAATAATTAATAAAATTATATTTCTTTTGTTCTCAGTGTCATTATGTGTTGATTTTGAATCATACAAAATAAAGGCAACATTATATACGACAAGTAATATTCTGCCCTACTCTACTTTTTTTGACGATTTGCTCACTTGCTAGTTCGATGCATGTTACAACGCAAAAGGTATGATGTTAGATTACAGTGCTGTTAAATCATAGATTTTAGTCGCTCCAACATTTTTTACCAATCGGTTTATCCTGGTAGATCAAAATCAGCTTGAAAGGATTTAAACAAAATGTATAAAGAATGTTTTTGGAGAACATTAAAGTGATATCATCTCCAGTCAAGAAAGTGGGACGCTTTCTCTAAAACTGCTGTAGAAATATATTAAAAATAAAGGTAAAGGCTTATGTACTTACCACATGATGTTTCGTCGGAGTAATCTCCACAATCATCATGGCCGTCACAAACACTTGGGTCTGGAATGCTCTTCCCATTATCACATAACAAATGGCCCCACGTATGTTTATCAACTGTAAAAAATGCAGAAAGTGTGAACATTTTATTATAATGTAATTGTATTTATTTCATACATGTAAGATGTTTAGTTTATACTTTGTTGCGAAGTAGCTACAGGTCAATGCAATAGTGCTGTAATTGAGAATCTCTCAATCTCTTTGGTGATTGTAATACATTTTCAATCCTTGAGTTCAATGACTTCTAATTCAAACCATGTAAGAAGCATTACCCCTTACAGTATTCTAAAAAGTCTTACACTAGATTTATCAATCTATCAACAAACATAATCGGCGTAGATCGTGGTTAGCTTATTAGATTAGACAAGATTAAAGCCAAAAAGGAGTCGTAGTCTTACAATGCAAATGGAATGCAAAAAAATTAGACGTTTCTTGGATGAGGGAAGTAAAGTCATTTGAAACCTAAGAGAGAATGTGGAAATAACCAGGTACGAGGCAAATACATGATGATCTTATCTGTGTTGTGTTGTATTTTCATGTGTTATTTGTAATGATGCTCCAAAAGGAGGCACTCCAAAATTGGGAAGATGTAAAAAAGACTTCATTTTAATGATAATCATGAATAAGGAATTACTACTCTATTAAAGAATTTATAGATTTGTTCCTGCGAGTGTTCTCTTTTAATTACTTATAAAGAATATTTGAGCGATTACTTGCTTAAAAGACGGTAAGACAGGAATCAAAAGCAGACAAGCTGACGACAACTTACTGAAGAGTATGAAAAAAATTATCTACCAAATACGTTCGCTGCTTCAATGTGAATCCCTCAAAATGGCTACTTGATTGTACTTGAGGGATAGGAGCACCGACAGCACAAAAAGGGTGCGCGGATGGGCCTTAATGAAGAGAATGGTATAAAGAAAAATAAATGGACTCCTTTTAAAGACGTCACGCTGAGGGAACTTCCTGAAGGGCAAGTATATACAGTAACTATCATGTAACTGAACCTAAGGTTATGTTTATGTAAGGATATAACACATTACTCTGTGTCGTCTAAAGTTTTAACCACATAGAGTGACGTCATAAATAAAATCCTCCAACCACAACATCATGTAGATGTTGAATCATTTTAGATATATTTTACGATGTAAACAGAAGCATTCAAGACAAAATTGTAAATACAAAAACAGGAAATGATGTCACTTTGAAACTTGTAAATGTTAAAAATGAACAACAAGGACCTATAGAATAATTAACTTTATACACACATTATTCAACATTTCTTTCAGATCAACTTGATGGGATTAGTGAGAAAATATACAGTTTTATAACCTACAACGTTCATCTTGAGAAAGTAATGGCAAACTTACGCAATTCGTCTGAATTATCTGCACAGTTGTCATGTCCATCCTTGATCAACAACTTATTGACACACAACCCATTGTCACATTGAAATTCATCTATACCGCATTCACCTTAAAAATGGAATTTCAAGTTGTCAATTTGAATCAAAATATATAAACCTAATATGAGAAAGTTAAAGAAATGTGCAGCTAAGATGTATGGTAGAGTAGTAAACAAGTAAAGAGGATGGCAGCCTTTTGAAATGAAGGCTAAGGCTAGTGCAAGAGATGAAACTATTACTACTACTACTACTACTACTACTACTACTACTACTACTACTACTACTACTACTACTACTACTACTACTACTACTACTACTACTACTACTACTACTACTACTACTACTACTACTACTACTACTACTACTACTACTACTACTACTACTACTACTACTACTACTACTACTACTACTACTACTACTACTACTACTACTACTACTACTACTACTACTACTACTACTACTACTACTACTACTACTACTACTACTACTACTACTACTACTACTACTACTACTACTACTACTACTACTACTACTACTACTACTACTACTACTACTACTACTACTACTACTACTACTACTACTACTACTACTACTACTACTACTACTACTACTACTACTACTACTACTACTACTACTACTACTACTACTACTACTACTACTACTACTACTACTACTACTACTACTACTACTACTACTACTACTACTACTACTACTACTACTACTACTACTACTACTACTACTACTACTACTACTACTACTACTACTACTACTACTACTACTACTACTACTACTACTACTACTACTACTACTACTACTACTACTACTATTATTATTATTATTACTACTACTACTACTACTACTACTACTACTACTACTACCACCACTACTACTACTACTACTATTGTTACTGTTGCTACTGCATTATTATTATTATTATTATTATTATTATTATTATTATTATTATTATTATTATTATTATTATTGTTGTTGTTGTTGTTGTTGTTGTTGTTGTTATCATTAAATTACGTTGGTGGAAGGAGCAGCAATGTTAGTGACCGAAAGGTATATTTTTATACAGCATTATTTTTTTATATTTTTTTATTTTTTATTTTTTTTTGTTGCTACCGGTGTGCGGTTACGCGATATAGGAAAGCAAAATAAATAGCAATGGTGATTTGTCAAAGGCGAAGAAGGACCCATTAAAGTTCCATCATTAAATAAACTAGTTTTATGGATGGTTGTCTGATTCTCATGATTTATAGATTTTTAGACCAGATGTAAGCCAACAGGTTTCTTGTGTGCTTGATAAGTAGGACAAGTTCCAAAGCTCTACGGTGACATTAATTTCCCCTTTGGTTTGTTTCATTAAAATATATACTCACATCAACAGTGCAGTAATAAACGTAAGAATCGTTTACAAACTGGACACATCATTTTAAAATGAGATGAAGGGATTGGGCCGCGGAAGGGCTGGTCCGCTACCTAGGGAGTAACTCAATTTCATTAAGCACACTTTTAACTAGGACTGGAATTTGAAAAGGAAATTGGCACTTCACATACCTGCGCCTTTTTTTTTTTATAGCATAAACATCTCTGTTATCTCTGTTTTAACACCCATTTTCGTCATCGTTCGATTATCCTATAATTATTATTATTATTATCATTATTATTATTATTATTATTATTATTATTATTATTATTATTATTATTATTATTATTATTATTATTATTATTATTATTATTATTTAATCGACTGATGTAGATTCATCCATCCAGGTTTACAATAATAAATATCAATTACATATTAACTGAGTTTCCGGGTCACAGCGTCAAATTTGATTAGGCTAAAATCCTAACTGTGGAGGCAAGATGGTTTTAGAGTGGGGTCAAGGAAGCAATCTACATCAGGGCCAACAGACCAACGTTGAATGGAGATGGTGGAAGATATAATCTTCCAAACATATGGAATAACACTTTAAAGGCAGGAAAGGAGGAGGGGGACCAGGCCCACCCAGCCTCACCGCTGACGTCACAATCCCTATCCATCGTGTGTCATCATATTATTATTATTGTTGTTGTTGTTGTTATTATTATTATTATTATTATAAAAATTGTAAATCGTCATAACTATTAAGCCTATTATTAAATAATTAACCTCATTGTCATTATTATTAACGATATTATTATTGAAATATTATGCATTATCTTTATTTTTCTCAGCAATCATCATTATCATGATAATTATCAACATTATAATCGTCATAGTTATTAATATTCCTAACAAAATTGTCATTAATGTGTTCCTAATTATTATTATGCTAAAAATTTAGTTTTGTTTATTCAATAAATATTAGAAAACTATCATTATTACGATGTTTATTATTAACGAGATAAGCCACAGGTGTTTTACAAACTCGTTTGTAGGATTAAAACCATGTACAGTATATGCAGGTATGTTTATATCCGATGCTCCAACTTTTTAACCCCCACCCACACTCTCACACCCGTTTTGCATATTATAATAAATAGATGATAATGTATAAGTATCAAATAGAGGACAAATATTTACTGGTGCATAAATAAACTTTAGGTTCAGTAGCCTGTTGATGATATTAAGCTTATGTTTACACTATGTTACAAAGTTTACCTGTAAAGAATGACGTAGCCAGAATCACGAAACCTGTGTCCTGAACATTAGCATCGGTTGTAAACATGAAGGTAATGATGTTTAGGGTTGAAGTGTAATGCTTTCCCTTTTTACTGCCACAGAGGCCAGAGGCGTCTGTCAAAAGTTTGGAGTTAGCATCCGGGCCATCAAAAATTTTAACTACGTCATTGCACGTCTGTCCAATGTATTCCAGTTCCATTTCTTCGATTAAAAGACGTACCCGCTGTCCGGTTGGAACAACAATAGTTACTAGGGTGTGAACACCTGCAGCGTAGTTGAGACTTTCTTGGGAATGAATAAGTAGTGATGATTTGGTCTGATAGAACACATGGCGATTTCCAACATGGTTTAAATACTTAGTACCTGTTTCATAAAAAAAATGTTGTAAGTTTATATATATATATATATATATATACATATATATATACATGTATATGTATGTATGTGTATGTATATATGTGTATATATACATACAATACAATAATATATGTATATGATATATACTGTATATATATATGTATATATATATATATATATATATATAATTATATTAAATTAAATTATTAAATATATAATTTATATATAATAAAACAAATAATCATTTCGGAGACACCTGACTGTTTTTATTCGAAAGTTTCTGATCCCACTTACCACAGTCCTATATGAAGTGGCCAATCCCTTTAACATGATAAACTAAGTTTCGTTATGAGCCTTGGGCAATTAAGTTGGTTTTCGTCGTGTAGAAAAAAAATAGTCACCTGCCAGGGCACTAGTTCAAACCCATGATTAGGGGATGGAAATCAAGTAATTTAATCATCACCAAGCCAGAACTTTTCTGATATCCTTTACGAATGCCAATCGCGACGCTTGCATTGATGTAGGTGTTGTACTATATATTTAGAACGGCCATTTCGTTTTTTAAATTAAAAAAAATCATCACCGTTCAATAATTAGCAAAGGCATGTACCAAGAGACACATACTACACAGGCAGTTCACACCAAATGTAATAGACCTACATGGATGGTTTGATCATGTGACCTCATCAAGCACAGCAAGCTGGCTGCAAATTATTAGGTTCAGTTACCAGCAGCTATACATGACATTAAAAGGACCTATCTGTCATCGATTCTACACTTGGATTACCACTAACATGCCCCTCGACGGTTGGCTAACCCATCGAATATGCAGCCACTGAAAGGGCGTCCATAAATCTTGATCACTCGTTTAGCGCATGGAGGAAGCCAATGTTTCACGGTCGCGTAGAGGACATGACATCCGCGCGTTGGGCTCGTAAATCGTCTGTGCAGTCAATGAAGGGGAGAGGCTATGTACGACTAGGCTGATGAGATAGAAAACGTCTAATGTAGATGCTCCCTCATGTACCATAAAATCTTTTTGTAATACTAATCGATAGCCGAAGGGAAAATGTAAAAATAAAAATCCCAAGCAACTGTGTATCATTTAGAAGAAGACAATTAAAATACAGATTTTTATCGTTTAGTAGGCCTATATGATTTATAATATAGCGCAGATATTCGCTAAGGCAGAAATGCTATAGGTGCTTGAATATACAGTAATATGCAACGCATTTACAATTCCCAAAAGATGCACCCTAACCGTGAATTCCAAACATCATGTACCCATACAAATGGGGTATTTTTTGGTTTTCGTGCTCCAATAACGCTCTTACCCAACAATAAAAGCAATAAAGAAAGCAGAGCATTTCTTAAATTTTTTTTTCGGATTTAAAAATAAATTTGTAGTTATTATTCATATTTCAAATTGCAGTTCTAGAATTCCAAAGGTGAATGGGTTACTTGAACTGGCTGCAAGTTTTTCTTTGTTAGCAATATAAAACTAAAAATAAAATATACTTATAATTGTGTTGCTTACTTTCCAATTAATAAATTACAATGGAAGTCGTAAAGAGAAATCAAGGAACAAAATTCGCATGTTTAAAAACGTATCGTATACATCATATAATATATTATTACAAAATTATAATTATTACATAATTATTATAATATTATCACTTAAAATTGTTGAAATTATATTTTTAAAATCCGTTAATATTATCGGAAAACACATTTATCATTCTAATATCATTCGAAATAAACTACTGAAATATTGAAATTAAGCAATCACATTTTTAATATTATTTATAGTATATTTACAAGACAATTGAAAATGATATTGACGTACCTTTGGACGAGACGAAATAGGTGAAACCGAAAATTAAAAATAGTTGTATAAATATACGCTTTGTCATTTGGGTCAGACGACCTCCATCTTCAATGATTGCTTGACACATTATTCCTGGGCTAGACTTATAGAAAATGTACTAAAGTTCCTCACTGGGCCAAGTTCTTTGCTTAATGCCGCTTAGACTTTCCGATTCCCCAACTTTATATCGTACTTCTCCAGATTCAAGGTCGTGCATTATTTTTTTGTGTATGTGTGAACAGCGCCATCATCGTCGTAGCACTATACCAAATCATTAAACATTTATAGGCAAGGTCGTCCATAGTTCAAGGGAAATAAACAAACTTCAGTATGCCGAAGATTTCTGAACCAAATTGAATTGATTTTACTGTTTAATTCTTTTTTTATCACTACTACTACCACTACCACTACTACTGCTAATAATAATAATAATAATAATAATAGTGTATTAGTTTTATATAGCGCAGATATCCATCTAATGTAAGATGCTCAGGGCGCTTGAAATGTGGACTAGGAACTCGACCAATGACTTTCTTCGCCCCTAAGGGTCCCTTCGTGTCTGTGCTACCCGGTACCAGCAACTCCCGTCGTCCACCACAGGGGCTGTCTCTTCCAGTACACCGGGGTAACCCCCTACTCGTCTCGAAGGATGTACTGGGTTCTTTATAGTGCACACGAGCCATTGTATACACTGGGCCTACGGTTTATAGTCCTTATCCGAGAAGACTTGTTCTACCGCCAGAACCATAGGCGAGCTTGCCGTTCGAACCAGCGCCGATATTATGGCTATAGCTTGCGGCGTCCCTGCTAACCGCTCGGCCATTCGACTCATTACTACTACAACTACTACATGGGCGGCGGAACCGGGGGGCCGGGGGGGCCCGGGCCCCCCCACTTTTTGGCGAAAAATATATAATGTCTGGAGAACTTTGTATGATCGGAAATGCAAAAAAAGAAGGAGGGAAGAAGG